AAAGCAATTAGACCCTATTGTCACAACCTGCAAATTCTTGCCCCATTTTAAGTGTTAGAGGTTTGCAAGAAGACCCTAAGATTCTCTAGAATGTTCTACAATTATCTACCATATGGAATATTCTAGATAATCCTAGAGAAGTATAGACTATGAAATTCTCTAGAACACTCTACAATTATCTACATATGGATTGTTCTAGAAAATTCCAGAGGAGTCTAGTCTTTGGGAGAACCTTAGAGTTCTATAGAACCTTGTGAATGGTTCCATAGAGTAGTCCTTTGTGGAAGACTCTAGAAACTTATAGAGTGCCCACACTTTGTAAGCATTCTCTAGAAGGTTCTAGGATAGGTGAAAATCCTTAGCATTCTAGAATGTTCATGGGAGGGTCCCCTTAGCCTATAAATAGGGGTGGTCCCTTCATTTGTGGGGGAGGAACCAAGAATATTATAGTGAAAACTATTATAAAAGTTTACCATACTTGGTGAAGCTCTTTTCACTTTTCTCCCTTGCTTGTGTGTTCCTACTCTCGTTTCTCTACTTACAATTTATTAGCCTTGCGTTTGCGTGAAGTTAAGCTTGTTAGCATAGCTCGGGAGTGCTAACGCCGCACGGTTACCTTGTAAGAAGAAAATGTCCGTGACACTATGCTATTGATTAATTGAGCTGCTTCTCCGTCGCTACTGAGAATGTTCCGAAGAACTTCAACTGCCCTTAGGTCCTTGACGTCGTGTTCATTGTCAATGCAATCTTATATAAGAAGCAATCCAAGAAATGCGATTTGTATAGACACAAACATCTCATACGCGACTAAATTCAGCAACATACGTGCAGTCGAGTTGTCAACTAATCAAAAATCGAGAATGGAAAGATATTGTTTTTAGAGAATCAGTTGGCTCGAGCTTTATACCCGCTGCTTTAAGTTTAGCATTCAAAAATCGACATTGCGGAAAGACTGCACGTTGCTCCAATGTTCTGGGAGATCAGATGGTGTATTTAAGCGCTCTATGAAACAGTCTGTAAGTGCTCCTAAAGCAACGAAAATGCACAGACAGCAAGTCATGGATATACAAAATAGCCTCCCCCACATTTTGCGGGCACCATGAGAATGATGATGACCACAATGATTAGTATCAGTACTTAAGAGCATTCTTCGATGAAGGTCAAGAATGTGATAAGGCTTGTAGTCCCGTCCCAAAATGTTGTCAGCACAAATATTTTACTTTATCTAAGTGATAAGATGCATTTGTAACAATAAAACTACTCATAATAATAAATCTGGAAAAATCGTGTATGAAATCCTTACTACTTGTCGATTCCTGCTCGTTGAAGCACATCAACACATTAAGGACTGGTAAGGGTATTTGGTTTTCAAACAAAAACAAATCCTGTTGGATCAAGGCTGCCTGACCATTACTAATGTTTGACATAACTGATCCGTTTACCAAAACATTACTAGTTGGGAGTTTTGATAGATATTGTTGACGGTAAAAACTCATTAACAGAAATAGACTAGATCACCACTAGGTATCCCGTTGGATTACCGGCTTAATATTGACTGTATATTTAATATATGCAGTGAAGTGTTTGTGGGATTTTTTGTGTAGTGAGCAATATGAGAAAAAAATACTTGAAGTAAAAAAACACACAAAATTTATAGTGGTTCACTCTTATAAATGAAGAGCTACATCCACTGTAGTTTTCTATTCCTTTTGAGATTGTTACAATTTACACAAAAGATTGCTCTCTCGTTCTTCTTTTCTCAAGAAAGATCCACCTTGTTCGGAATGAGGCTTCTCCCCTTTTATAGCCGAGCGTCCTTCGTCGGGTGGGTTTTCTGTGTAGGCAGAAAAGCACTCAAGTAGCCTGCCTTTCTAGGCCCAGACTGTAGCCTACTAATCACTTTTACAAACTGTTCACTCAGCCAATTAGTCTCCCATTACGGCTATGTGCGCACCTGTAACCCTTTTCTGCCCCCCGTAGGGTGGTTTAAGGGTTTGCATTTAATGCCTATACTGCAGACATTTTCCATTTCCGCACGCAACTTGCGATGTCAGGCTTTCCCCTCTTCGGGCATTCCTCTCGCCGTCTCTATTTGCTCAGCCTAGTTATCTTTCTTGTCAATTAATTTCTTCCCGAAGGATTCCTGTCGTAAGGTTGACGGTATGACCTGTCGTCATCAAGAGGAGTCGACGTCGAAGGCTAGGCTTCCCTTGCAGCAGAAAGAAAGGGAACCCCCACCGTCGAGGGTTGTTGCCTTTTTAGGGAAAGTAAGGCCACGCGTCAAGCTGTTGTTTTTCCACGCCTCATCCACATTTTCCCACACAATAGATATCTTAAAAGTATGGGACTTAGAGACATGTCTCATTTATTTTAGGGAAAGTGGGAGATTGTTGGAGTATGTGCTCATAAATCAAGTAAGATGTAAATACTTTGCAGATTATTAATGACATGATGAATTTTTTCAATATTATTTTGCATGCATGTGATGTTTTATAAATATAAAAAATCCTTATATTATTTTAGATGTAACTTTAAACATTGTATATAAGTGTTATACGCAGAGGATAGTGTTTGAAGTAAAATAATTTAAACTTGCCATAATTATAAATTAATGTTGGGATGTTTAATTTAAAATTGCTAGTGTGATTCATTACATTCTGAATGAAACAATCTTATCCTAGATTGTTAATAATGAGATTATTAGAATCAAAATAATTTATGTAATATGATTACATAGGACCGGAAAGCGATTAATTATAAATCTCTAATAAATTTTGTTATTAAATAGAACATTAAATATTAATCAATGATGGTCATATATGAATTAATCTTAATTTTGAGTAATTAATAGACTCATATTTATGATATTATGTTCTTTGACATATTGAGTAATGGCATATATGAATAGTGTCAAAGTCTTGGTATATTGGGAGCATAGTAAAATAAATAGCCGGGAATATTAATTTACAAGATGAAATCCATTCCTTCATAATGAAGTAGATAGACGGTTCCCATAAGTGTTGATTCGGGACTTGAATAATAAGGCGCTCAATTTTATGATTGGATCATAAAATATATTATTCATTAGAGAATCAATGATACTTATGGAGAAAGATATAATTAAATAGGTCAACGAAAAATTCTAAACTTTAATTATGAACTATTTATGGATGATTAATTCGTGTGTAGTGACTATATCAATGGATAACACAAATTTCGTAAATATAATTGTCTTATAATTTTAAGAGTGCAATTTCAAATTTATAGTGTAGTAATTTAGAATTAATAATTTTGATATATTAATTAAGTTGTTGATTAATTGTCAAAATTATTGAAGCTTAAAACTATAATGTCCATAGTTACTCTCAACGGCTCCATAAGATTAATATGAACTATATATATCATATTGGGTTATGATTGTTAATTTAAAATTGAGAATTCTAAATACACATATTAGTTAATTTGATTAATTAATATTAAAATTAATTTAAAATTAATATGGATGAATAGAGAAATTTTTTCTCACTCCTAAATCTCTCCATGTTTTTCATTAGGAGAAAAGTTTTCTTTTTTTTTTGGCCAAATAAGATTTGGCCGTAATATTAAAAATTAAAAAGGAGGAAGGAAACGCGCTTTTTACATTGAGGAAAGCAGAAGGCACCTTCCTGCGTGAGTGCGTGTATACATACAAATATTTTGGAAAAGTTCCAAGTCATAAAAAAAGGGCGGCGTTGACCGGTGACCGTACGGTCGCCTGTGACAGTCGCCGGCGGTCGTCGCCGGCGACACAATGCTGGCTGCCATGGCCGAAGGTCGGCCATGGCAGAACTGCAGCAGCCTCATGGCTGCTGCTGGCGACTGCACCTTCAGTCACAGGCACCGGCTTTCGCTGGTGTCAGGCCCAGGCCCAAATGGGCCTGCTTATGATTCTGGGCTGGGTTTTCCAGCCGGCCGAGAACCAAAATGAGCAGCCCAAGCACCCTCAAATTTTTATTTTTGGTTTTTGAATTCAATTTTTTTTTTTTTTGGAGATCCACCAAACGTGAGACATGAAGATGGAGAATTACAAGAAGATCTATACCATTTTTGTCATAATAATTATAATATTAATCAAGTCATAATATTATCAGCATTGCATTGATAATATATGTGTATTGTATACATAAAAGGTTTTTGTTTCGTAGAAAATTTCGTAGGTGTGTGTATATATACATAATATAGATGGAATATATGTTTAAAGTACATGAATTTTTTGAGTTAATTTGATGTTAAATACTGTATTATTTATACTTTTATTAGAAAAGAATATTAATAAAAAATATTTAGGCAAAAAACTAGATTCATTTTCTTTCTTTCTTATCATACCAAATAAGTCAAGAGAAAGTTAAAATCTTTTCTATCCTTTTAATTTTCTATGCATTATAATTTTTATTTTCCTTCTATTTTCTTTCCATCTTACTAAACAGAGTATAAGTGTAAAATTTTAAAAAATAATATTTTTTGTAAAAAAAAATTTGAGTGAAGATGGTAGCCCTCGGGTGCTCTCAATACTAGTAGAATAATTTAGTATTAAAAGTACAAGAACATACGGACAAGGTTTGGCTCACCTTTGGAACTGAAGCAGGAAAAGGCCAAGTTCAGTTGACAAGTTTTCCATTAACCTCAGCATGTTTTACGTTTGTGAGGTGTTGGATTGAGTGAACTTCCTCGAGGTGCTCGCACCTGGAAATTCTAAGATCTTCGAGAACGGGCAATGCTCCTCGATCTATTCTTACCACCTTTAGTCTTTTTAACTCAAATAATTCAAGGCTTTTCAGTTTTTGAAAACCTCCCTCCTCAAAATGCAGTAGCTCTCCCTCATATGCTTGGTTCAGCAGATGTAGATTCTCCAATTTAGCTAAACCTTTTAAGACATTTGGCTTGTCCATCGATTAACCTTGAGAAACATAAACACAAACGACGTAGATTTTGAAGCGTAAAAATCCATTCCGATAATTTCTCTATCCGTCCGATGAGTAGGAGTTCGTGCAGGAAATGAGGTGGAGATGAAATGTATTGTATATATCAAGAACATCACTCTCATTAATTGAGGATAAAAACAGCCGTTTCAGGTGATTCATTTTGCCGATAGAGGCGCAAAGAGCCCTCCAGATCTCTTTGGTTAGCTTTGAGATACCCAACCATCTCAAGTTCGTCAATTTCTCCAACTCTTTCATGAGACTAGCTCCACCAATATCTGCTTCCACCAATGTCAGCGTCTGTAAGACGTCCAGTCGCCCAAACCCTTCCTCTATCGTCACTCCGCGGTCAAAATAAAAAATGTTTTGAGCACGGTGGTTATGCCTATAGGCCAATAGGTGACGCAAATTTGCGAGCTCATTAATCGCCTTCGGAAGCTTGCGAATCAATGAATCTCGAATGTCCAAGGACTCTAGATTGTGTAGCTTATTTATGGACTTCGGTAGGACCTTGACCCGTGTATTCCTTAAACTTAGATACTTCAAACAAAACAATTTACCAAGTTCCTTCGGCAGAGTATCCACAGGAGCATTCTCAACCTCCAACACCTTCAAAAGCTTAAATGTTTAGAACAACTTAACCATGAAAGAGTTGCTCACAAACTGATCATCATCCAAGTCAAAAAGGAAAACAGAACGCACCACGGAGCTCTCAACATTATCCAAAACATCTTTTGTGCTGCCGGAAATTATAAGGCGACGATCTCTTACTCTGGATTTTGACCTCTTCTTATCCCAAGTATGACAGAAGCAAACGTCATAAGCAAGTGATAGGATGACATCACGCATCAAATCATGGACTCGGAACCCATTACCTAAACCAATTATCTTCAATTGATCACAAGCGACCAGGCTTCTTTTGGTCAGCTCACTTAAATATTCTTCAGCAACCTCTTCCAACGTTTTTCCTACTTTGGCTTTGATAAAACCTTCAGCAATCCATAGTCTAAACAATCTTTCATCAGAAATTGAATAGTCTTCAGGAAAGATACCAAAACACAAGAAGCAAGATCTTAGGGAGTAAGGCAGATCATAATAACTAAGAGAGAGAATTTTTTGGATTCTTGAGAATTGAGAATTTATTTCAACCTTAGAATTGAGATCATCAAGCACTTTTCGCCATTCAGACTCAACTTTTTCTTTAGTTGACAATAAACTAGCTATGGTTGCAATAACAAGAGGCAAACCTTGGCATCTTCTAACAATTTCAATTGATAATTGCACTAATTCCTGAGGACAATTCCCTTGAAACTCATACTTAAAAGCCTTCTTGCAGAACAATTCCCAAGCCAATGTTTGAGACCAAGGGTTCAGGTTTTGTACAACGTCATATGGTGTTTCCCTACAGGAATCAGCAACAGCGGCATTACGCGTTGTTACTATTATCCTACTCCCTTCGTTATTATTAGGCAAAGCAAGTTTAGTATCATCCCAGAAATTCTCGTCCCAGACATCGTCAAGAAATATCACGTACCTCTTTGTCTGCAAATATGTCCTCACACACTCAATAAGCTGTTCGATCGCGTTGTTTTCTTCCACCAGGCAATCGGCCCCTGATTTGCATAACTGTCGTTTCATCTCCATTAGGACCTTTGTTAGGTTGTAGGGCTGAGACACAGTGATCCATGCGCTGGCTAGTTCAAAGTGCCTTTTCACCACTTCATCGTTGTGGACATTCTTCGCAAGAGTAGTCTTACCAATTCCGCCTTCACCTACCAAAGAAATTATCAATCTCGTGGACGCTCCTTCGATCAACATCGCTATGAGATCCGTTGAGGCAGACTCGATCCCCACAAGTTCATCTTTCTCAATGAAGAGAGGACTCAATCGAATTGTACTACTGGTTGTACTACCTGATAGCTGGGCTGGCCTGGTACTTGATGGGCCTCGGGTTCAAAAGCAGTTGAGGAGGTGGGCTGACACTAAGGCCCACGGGGAAGGACTTCCAACTGAAACGACAAGTCGTTTAGAGGGGAGCACCAGCAAAGAGGAAGGAGAAGCATCAAAGCATCTGGGAACTGATGAGAGCCATTCGCGTGAGGTCAGAGTTCGCAAGGTGCCCAGCAAGTTCAACGACTTTGTGAGGGCGTGATTCTGTTGCGAGAAAAGCGGATCTTCCTAACTGAATCTTGCTATTTCTATTACTTTTTTTTTTTTGTTATTTCCAATTTGCTGTGCTGGAAGAATCCTCGTTAGGAGTGATTCGTCTAAATGGGAATTCCCTTTGTTTGGGAAGGATTATGTAAGAAGAAGAACCTTTGGTTAATTTGGAGTTTCGCACTGACTCGAAGAGTGCTCATCAATACAATTTTTACCAATTGTATCACTAGTGCTTTCATTGAGAGGATGAGGAACGAAGAGATTGCGGAGTTAATGAAGGCGATGGAGACGAGTTTCAAGCAATACTCCGATGACCAGCTAGGGAAGTTTTCGGCCTTACTGGAGCAACACATGGTGACCACGGAGCAACGTCTCTCCCATCACGGCCAACCGCCGCGGGGAGCGGAGTCACCGACGGGTCAGCAGCGCAGAGCCACGGACAACTTCCAGGAGGTAGGAGGGGAAGGTCAGGGGGAGTCTTCCGGGGCTGACCTGAATTTCATCCTGAAGACCTTTAGAGTGGACGTTCCCCGATTCGATGGGGCTAACGTAGATGACTGGATTTATAAGATTGAGAAATTTTTTTCTCTACACCGTGTGGCACCAGCCATGCGACTGACGGTGGTTGCTTTCCATTTAGAGGGGGAGCCATCCACCTGGTATCAATGGATGGAGAGGGGAGGAGCCTTACCCAGCTGGGAGGTGTTCATCTACGAGCTGAGGAAAAGGTTCGGTGCTTCAATCTACGATGATCCCTTGGGGAGAATCTCCAAGCTCGTTCAGACAGGAACGGTTGCGCAATTTCGGGCAGAGTTTGAGCGCCTAATGATGCAGATAACGGGTGTTTCTGAGGTCATGTTTATGAACTTTTTTATCTGGGGTTTAAAGACCGACATTCGCCGGGATCTGTTGATGTCTCGGCCTCTTTCTCTGGTTGAAGCCATGGCCCAGACTCAACTTTTTGAGGAGCGTAATGATGACCTGATGGGAAGGGCAAACAGGGACGGACATCGCGCTACAGAAGTGGGTATGAGTCGGGTGGGGGCGTCGGGAGGGACGCCGATGACACGGACGGGAGCGCAGGGCATGGGGAGTACCTCGGGTTTTTTCAGGGGAGGAGGACCACCTCGAGGAGAAACCAAATTTCCCATTAAACGCCTAACTCCAGCGGAGATACAAGAGAAGAGAGAAAAGGGGATTTGTTTCAGCTGTGACGAAAAGTACCATACGAACCACAAGTGTAAGAATCGAGTATTGCTCATGATAGGAGAGGAGGAGGACGACGGCCACGCGGAGGAAGACCGGCAATCGCCTGACAGTGCCACAGAGGAGGTTGACATTGAGGTAAGTCTTAACACCCTGTCCAATTCTGTAAATCCTAGAATATTTAGGATCTCGGCCAAACAGGGAACAGAAACTTTAGAAGTTTTAGTGGATACGGGAAGTAACAATAATTTTATCCAAGAGGCTCTAGTTGAGAAATTGGGGTTGTCATGCGAAAGGTCCAAGAAATTTAAGGTATATATGGGCAATGGACAATACTTAGTTTATGACCGGCTGTGCAAGGGTGTGGCGTTAGACCTACAGGGAAACAGTTTTGTGGTAGATTTATATGTCCTTCCAATTTGGGGCCTGGATGTGGTACTGGGAATGCAGTGGTTGCGGACCTTGGGCCCCTGTATTCATGACCATGACAAACTGACAATGGAATTTCAGTGGAAGGGAAAAACAGTAAGGTTAGCAGGCAGCAGTGATTTGCCCACTCGCCAATTAACATTCACCCAATTCAGTGCTTTAATTCACGGCGGAGCAGTGAGCAGCGTGTACAGGGTGGAAACTGTCACAGAGAGAGAGGGGTCGAATGGGGAGCCGAAAGAGGATGAACTAGTCCGATTGGATGAGTCCTTACCAAGTTTGGGACGTGGGCTCCTCAAGCGGTTTCAAGCCATTTTTGAAGAGCCAAAACAGCTTCCGCCGATACGTAATGTGGACCATAGAATACATTTACAGCCGGGAACGTCTCCGGTGAACGTTAGGCCCTATCGGTACCCCTATTTCCAGAAGGATGTCATGGAGAAGATTGTCAAGGAAATGACGGAGAATAGGTTCATAAGGCACAGCAGCAGCCCTTATTCGTCACCAGTGTTGTTGGTCAAGAAAAAAGATGGAACATGGAGGTTTTGTGTCGATTATAGGGCCCTCAACGCAGTCACTGTCAGGGATCGTTTCCCAATCCCAACCATAGACGAGCTCCTAGACGAGCTAGGCGGAGCGGTGGTATTTTCCAAATTGGATCTTAGAGCCGGATACCACCAAATCCGGATGGACCGCAGAGACGTGCACAAGACGGCATTTCGTACGCATGAAGGGCACTATGAATTCTTCGTGATGCCGTTTGGCTTGTCTAATGCCCCTTCGACTTTTCAGGCAGCCATGAATCAGATCTTCAAGCCATACTTGCGGAAGTTCGTGATTGTGTTCTTCGACGATATACTAGTCTACAGCACAAGCCTGGAGGAGCATGTCCAGCATTTGGAGACCGTGTTACAGTGTCTCTTGTCTCACAGTTTTTTCGCCAAGGGAAGTAAATGTCAATTCTTCCAAAGCTCCATTGAGTATCTGGGGCACCTGGTTTCGAAAGAGGGGGTCCAGGCAGATCCGTCCAAGATTGAAGCCATGACAAGTTGGCCACAACCAAAAAATCTGAAACAGCTGCGGGGTTTCCTGGGACTTACCGGTTACTACCGGAGATTTGTAGCCCAATATGCGACCATAGCAGCTCCTCTTACTGAGCTATTAAAAAAAGATAATTTCAAGTGGGACGATAGGGTGACAGCGGCCTTCGAGCAGTTGAAGAAAACCATGATGGTGACCCCGGTGCTATGTTTACCCGACTTCACAAAAACGTTCGTAGTTGAGACGGACGCGTCTAAGGTGGGGATTGGAGGAGTGTTGATGCCGGAAAGGCATCCGGTGGCGTTTTTCAGCAAGAAACTAGGGCCGAGGATGATGGCAGCTTCGGCCTACTTGCGTGAGTTAAGAGCGGTAGTGGAATCCGTGACCAAATGGCGCCAGTAACTATTAGGGAGGCAATTCATTATCCGTACCGATCACAAGAGTTTGAAGGAGATAATGACTCAAGTCATACAAACGCCTGAGCAGCAACACTATTTAAGGAAACTATTAGGGTACCATTTCACAATCGAGTACAAGGCCGGGGTGGAAAACTAAGCGGCTGACGCGTTGTCCAGGCGCCATGAGTCGGACTGGCCACACATGGTGGTTGCTCTATCGACAGGGCAATACCATTTTCTGGGGGACCTGCGGGAAGAGAACTTAAATTGTGCTGACCTAAGAGCATTACAGCAGCAGCTCCAAGATGGGACTTTGGAGGATCCTTCATTCACAATGAGGGATGGGGTAAGGATGCATAGGAACTGTTTTTTCCTCAGTAAGGAGTCGACCATGAAGGAACTCATGCTCCAGGAATTCCATGAGTCCCCAACAGGAAGACATGCCGGTGTTGAGAAAACATACCAGCGGCTTGCTACCAATTTTTTCTGGATTGGGATGCGTCGGGATGTGAAAGAGTTTGTGGCCAAGTGCCTAACTTGCCAATCCATCAAATACTCTACCACCGCACCATACGGTTTGCTCCAGCCATTGGAGATTCCGGAGAGGGTCTGGGAGGACTTAGCCCTTGAGTTCATCGTCGGACTGCCACTGTCTAAGGGAAACACTACAATTTTAGTGGTCATTGATCGACTCACTAAGTACGCACATTTTGGAGGGTTGCCAACGCATTACACGGCTACTAAGGTAGCTAAATTATTTTGTAACATGGTTATTAAGCTGCACGGACTTCCACGGACAATCGTTTCTGATCGGGACCCTGTCTTCAATAGCCAGTTTGGGCAGAAATTGTTTGAGTTCATGGGCACAAGACTGAGAATGAGTTCTGCTTATCACCCCCAGACAGATGGTCAGTCAGAGGTATTGAATCGTTACTTAGAGCAGTACCTACGGGCTTTTACTACCGAGAACCCCGGGCAGTGGTTTACACATTTGAGTTGGGCGGAGTATCATTACAACTCCAGCCATCACTCGGCCATTGGCATGTCGCCGTTCCAGGCCCTATACGAGCGACCACCTCCAACCATTCCCTCTTATGTACGAGGTTCGTCACCAGTCCAGGCAGTGGAAGAGAGCCTTTGCACCAGAGACGACATTTTACAAAGCTTGAAACAAAACCTGTCACGTGCCCGAAACTGGATGCAGCAAATGGCCAACCGAAAGTGCAAGGACATACAGTTCCAGGTAGGTGAACTAGTCCTGGTTAAACTCCAACCGTATAGGCAAACTACAGTGGCCAAGCGCCTGAACTCGAAGCTCTGCCGACGTTACTTCGGTCTGTTTCCAGTTCTCGCTTGGGTAGGTCCTGTGGCGTACACTCTCGGGCTGCCGCAGGGAGGCAGAATTCACCCCACGTTTCACATATCCTTACTTAAGGCCTTCAAGGGGGAGTCTTCAAATCCATTCAGCTACCCACTTCTGGAGTTAAGTCGGACCAATAGACCAATGGTAACTCCGATGGCCATTTTGGCAGGTCGCAACATGTTCATAAGGGAAAAACCGGTGAAGCAGGTGCTTGTCCAGTGGTCTCACAGTCCCCTGGAAGATGCCACCTGGGAGGAACTCACCGAGTTCAGCAAGCTGTACAACCTGCCCGACCTTGAGGATAAGGTCTTTGTCGATAGGGAGGGGAGTGATAACTGGGCTGGCTTGGTACTTGATGGGCCTCGGGTTCAAAAGCAGTTGAGGAGGTGGGCTGACACTAAGGCCCACGGGGAAGGACTTCCAACTGAAACGACAAGTCGTTTAGAGGGGAGCACCAGCAAAGAGGAAGGAGAAGCATCAAAGCATCTGGGAACTGATGAGAGCCATTCGCGTGAGGTCAGAGTTCACAAGGTGCCCAGCAAGTTCAACGACTTTGTGAGGGCGTGATTCTGTTACGAGAAAAGTGGATCTTCCTAACTGAATCTTGCTATTTCTATTTCTTTTTTTTGTTGTTATTTCCAATTTGCTGTGCTGGAAGAATCCTCGTTAGGAGTGATTCGTATAAATAGGAATTCCCTTTGTTTGGGGAGGATTATGTGAGAAGAAGAACCTTTGGTTAATTTGGAGTTTCGCACTGACTCGAAGAGTGCTCATCAATACAATTTTTACCAATTGTATCACTACCTCTGCTAGATCCTTGCTCGAATGGTCTCAACTCGTAACTCTGACCTCTTTCCTTGATTTCACGCAATGACTTTTTAATATCTCGAATCTCAGAAGCTATCTCATGACGCGGTTTCAAGGCTTTGATGATCTGACCCGCTTTGCGGAGTGAACCAACAAAGCCATTCCGCTGCTGCTGACGATGCTATGAAAGGTGATAGAGGTATTCATCGACGACATCTTCGATACATTCTGCTTTCTCCCTTAGCTGCATTAGCCATATTTGTGCAGCCTCATTGGTTTCTCCTTTCTTCGATTTGCCTTCGGCATCTTTGAGGAACGGTTGGAGGATCTCGAGTTCATCTTTGAGGCTCTTCACTTCTTTGTGGACTCCTTTTAGCAAGCCGACTTCATCGGCCAACAGCTCAACCAACTTCCCAATCACAGGGTTGAGGAAAGTCTCCGCCATTTCTTCCTCAGCTTTGGATCGTGCTAGCAGAGCAATAATGGGAATAACTTAATTATTCTACTCATAATATTTATTAAATGATGAATGAATTATGCTTACTTACCGTGGTGTATATCACCAAAGTCTTTGCTACATTGAGCCAATGTTATGCTTCCACACCCAACTTGCACCCTTAACTTATTCATTGTGACTTCGGAATCTTATCCTTGGGCGGCCCACTATATATATCTATAAAAGGAAATCGTGGCTTTCCTTTTTTTTTTTTATTAACATCATGACCAAAACTTTATTGGCCAAATAAAAAAATCTTTTCTCATAATGAGAAACGTGAGACTTTAAAGAGTGTAAGAAAATTTCTCTCTTTCTATAAAAGTGACTAGATTCATTCACATTAATTTAAAATAATTTAATATTAATTAATCAAATTGATTAATATGTGTATTTAGACTCTAAATTAATAATCATAACCCAATATGATATATATATATATATATAGTTCACATCAATTTTATAGAGTCATCGAGAGGAACTATGAACATTATAATTTTGAAGCTCTAGTAATTTTGACAATTAATCAACACCTTAATTAATATATCAAAATTATTAATTCTAAATTACTCCACTATAAATTTGGAATTGTACTCTTAAAATTATAATATAATTAGGTTCACGGAATTTGTGTTGTCTATTGATATAGTCACTACATACGAATTAATCCTCCATAAACGGTTCATAATTAAAGCTAGGTATTTTTCGTTGACCTCTTTAATTATATCTTTCTCCATAAGTACCATTGATCATCTAATGAATAATATGTTTTACGATCCAATCATAAAATTGAGCGTTCTTATAATTCAAGCCCCAAATCAACACTTATGGGAACCGTCCATCTACTTCATTATGAAGGAATGTATTTCATCTTTTAAATTAATATTCCCGGCTATTTATTTTACTATGCTCCTAATATACCAAGACTTTGACACTATTCACATGTCTCATTACTCATTATGTCAAAGAACATAATATCATAAATAGGAGTCTATTAATTACTCAAAATTAAGATTAATTCATATATGACCATCATTGATTAATATTGAATACTCTATTTAGTAACGGAATTTATTAGAGATTCATAATTAATCACATTCCGGTCCTATGTAATCATATTACATAAAATGCTTTCATTCCAATAATCTCATTATTAACACTCTAGGATAAGATTGTTTCATTCAGAATGTAATGAACCACGTTAGTAATTTTAAATTAAAGATCACAACTTTAATTTATAATTACGAACAAGTTTAGATTATTTTGCTTCAAACATTATCCTCTGCATATAACACTTGTAATGTTCAAAGTTACATCTAAAATAATCTAGATTTTGATATTTATAAAACAACACATGCATGCAAAATAATATTGAAAAAATTCCCCATTTCATTGATAATCAGTAAAATATTTATATCTTATTTGATTTATGGACATATACCCCAACAATCTCCCACTTGCCCTAAAGCAAATTAGACATGTCTCTAAGTCCCATACTTTCAAGATGTCTCTCAAAACTCCCAGCTCGTAATGTTTTGGTAAACGGATTAGCTATGTTGTTCACGGATGTGATCTTTTCAACTGAAATGTCTTCTCTAGAAACAATCTCTCTGACCAAGTAGAATTTCCGCTCTATATGCTTTCCTTTACAGTGGTTCCTAGGCTCCTTGACATTGGCCACTGCTCCACTGTTGTCACAATAGAGTCTGATAGGCTCATGCATATTTGGAACAACTTTCAATTCCTTCACAAGTTGCTACATACTCAGCCTCCATGGTTGAGTCAGCAATACAAGATTGCTTGATACTCCTCCATGTGATGGCTACATTTTCCAAAGTGAACACTGCCCCCAAGGTGGACTTGTGAGAGTCCCTATCCAACTGAAAATCATAATTAGTATATCCAATAGGAATCAAATCCTTACCAGAGTATACAAGCACATGGTTTCTTGTCCTCCTTCAATATTTGAGTATGTGTTTGACTGCAACCCAATGATATAATCCTGGGTTTGACTGGTATCTACTAACCATCCCTATTGCAAAGCATATGTTAGCTCTAGTACATAGCATTGCATACATTAGGCTACCCACTGCCGATGCATAGGGAACTCATCTCATATCCTCTTCCTCTTGAGGTGTCTTTAGACACTGTTCCTTAGAGAGATAAACTCCATGTCGAGAAGGTAAATTTCATTTCTTGGAGTTTTACATCGAAAACCTGACAAGCACTTTGTCAATATACGATGCCTGAGACAATGCCAAAACCCTATTCTTATGATCCTGGATAATTTAGATCCCAAGAATGTAGTTGGCTTCTCCCAAATCCTTCATTTGGAATTGGC